CCCACCCAAAAAAAAGAAAAAAAACAGATTTGGTACTTATTTAGGCCCTTTTTCTGAGCCGGGTATGGGCATGGGGCTCCCGGAAGCCCTGAACACCCCAAACCCTATCGAGCCGATAGATAAGATCCCACGAGCCCGAAACCTGAGGACTCTAAGCCCAAATACACAGAAACCCTACTAAATGCACGCGAGGCCATCGCAAAAAAGGACACCCACAACACGTGCAGCAAATCAAAACTTTGCGAACCTACAGGCGCCATTATAAAAACAAATATATATATATATACGTAGCGGACCTGAAACAATAAGCAAAACGAAATAGGCAGTACAGAGCCTTGGCTTTGGCAGAGGGCTTCTTCATGACGACGGGCTCTTCTTCAGGCATCTCCTCCGCATAGGTCGTCTTTGGGACTTCTGCGTTAAAAAGGGCTTGGGCTTTGGTTGAACTAAGGGTTCAGTGATCTTCAGGCGGCTTAAGGATGATCTTTGTCTGTGTCTTGTTGCGTGCTTGTTTTGGCCTGGTCTGGCTCCTTAATTTAATGATAGTATAATGGCCCCCCAAACCCTATTCTAATTATTAAGGCCCCTATATTGTTGAACCCTAAACCCTAAACCCTAAACCCTAAACCCTAAACCCTAAACCCTAAACCCTAAAGGTCTTAGGAGTTTGGGGGAGGGGGGGGGGTGTGCTGCACAAAGACTGCAGTTTGCGAGGAGGAGTCCAGGGGTTGAGGCGGTTTGAAAGGTTGGAATGGCCCTAGTTAGGGTTTAGGGTTTAGGGTTTAGGGTTTAGGGTTTAGGGTTTAGGGTTTAGGGTTTAGGGTTTAGGGGATATGTGAGCGTGCCGGAGGGGGAGGCTACAAGGGTTTCTTCCAAAGGAGCTGGTTTATGGTTAGAGGATAAACTCCTAAAGTCTTGAATCGGGCTCGGGGTCTAGTGGATTTGGTCTCGGGGATACTTTCCAGCTTGAACCCTAAACCTTTAGACCCTAAACCAAATCCTAAACTCTGAAACCCTATACGCTAGCTCTGAAGCTCTGATTGTGGTTCCGGACATGGTATGGGTGCGGCTGAGGCGAGCTTCATGGGAGTTGGGCGTTAGAGTTTTTAAAGGTGGGTTTAGGGTCTTGAGGATTGCAGTTGCTTAGGGCCAAGGCTCCGAAAAAAAACACGAACTCACCCAAGTCATAGAAGCGCCCTGCTACACAAACATTCAGCGCTGCCTTGCAAAGGAGACTCACCTACCGGCCTGTTCCACAAGTCCTCAGAAGAGGAGGTTTGGGGCTCGATGGGGTTCGCTAGGGGCTATTGAAGGTATATGGTTTAGGGTCGTGCTTTTCGTTGGATGGTTTTGATTTGGGATTTTGGGCGTGTAGCCTGACTAGATGTATGGGCTTGAGGGTTTGAGGGCCTCACCGTATACCTGTGGCTACAACTATAGTTCTGCCTATAAAACCCAACAGTTATACCCCAGCAGTTCATCGGGAGCGAATATGGGGTCCAGGGCAACGGTGCTCATGAGATGGAGGAGGTTATTGGAATCTGCACCATAAGGGGGGGTTGCCCTTAGCAACTGGCTTTTTGTAGGGTGGGGGTTACACTGCAGGACTAAGCGAAGACTTCTTGTTGATTCCGGACACCCCTAAATCATGCTAGCTTTCATGCCGGCGCTTGTCCAGGACGATGGTGTCTTTGAGTGCTCTCGTTTCCCAACTAGTAGGGAAGCCGGAAGGTGGAACAACCCCTAACATTTCTAGCACCTCAAGGAAAAGCCTGCCAAGAATTCTCGGTCGCCTCGTCTTCATCCTCCTCCTCTTCCTCCTCCTCCTCATCTTCGTCCTTCCGTCACCGATTTCTTGTTTTTAGCGTTTTATGGGTTTTGGGAGCGCTCGGAGGTTTCGGATTTCTGGGTTTGGCTTAGGGTTTCAGGCTTCTGGTTGATGGGTAGCGCTGTCTGGGTTTGTGACTTGCATGACGCTGCAAGGGTCTAGTGACTCTGGTGGCTTTGTGCGTTTCCTCCGGCAGTTACGTACACGCAAGCACAGGCACGCGCGCAGGCGCGCACACACACACACACACAGCCGGCCTATCCGTATGCCGACCGTGAAAGCTGTAATTATATGGGAGTTGCGAAGACAGGGTTGCCTAACTTGGGAGTGAAAAAGTAGGATTCTTACTACGAGGGCCCCCGAACATGTTCTTCTAATACAGAGGCCTTATTTCCTACAATAGGGTTTTGCGGCCCCTTATACTGACAAATATAAGGAAGACCCCCCCCCCCAAAAAAAAAAAAAGAAAAAATAGTATAGGTAGTTGTTGAGGCCCTTGCATTATACGAAGAGACCGGTGTGGTGTATTGGTGGACAGGGCCTTGTTGCTTTTGTAACGACCTGCGAGGAGGCTGCCACATGAGCTTATGGAGGGTCTCTGACTACTACCTAGAGGTACCGGCCCAAAAAGGATTCCGGACATGGGCCTGAAAAGCTCGATTTAAACTTCCAATAGAGATAGATGGATAGACCTACGGCGGAAGTAGCAGAAAATATGCAGATGCCCATATTGCATAGTACGAGGCAAGACTTTTACACTCGGAGTTATTATGGTGTGCTGCAGTGCTTTGGCTGCTTTGGGTCAAAGTAGGGTTCTAAATGTAAGGGGAGGCAGTTATACACGAGACTGTACTGCAGTTATCTAGGCGCTATGCAAGATAGAACTCAAAGCCTACCAAGCTGCAACGCTGCAGGGTACTTCGAGCCGAAGAGCTTCGTGTCGGGATCCCATTGAAATCTCCGCAGCCTTGCCTCTTCCTCCTCCTCTTCGTCTTCGTCTGCCTCTTCGGCATCCTCTTCTTCCTCTTCCTCTTCCTCTTTCTCTTCGGCCTGTTAGGCTGGGGCCTTCCTGTGGCACATAGGTTAACTACGGCTAGTGTTGAGGGTTACACCCCATAGCTTCTGGCGGTCTTACGGCAGCTCCAGATACCTACGGTTACCTTGGAGGCATTTCGGGCTTATAGTTTAGGGGTGTTTAGGGTTTAGGGAGAAAGGGATATTTGAAGTAATGTAATCTTTGGGTATTGGGTTTTGGCGTTTACCCGAACCCTCAACCCTGTACCGTAAACCTGGAAGCCCCATAAGTGACTTGCCTTGGTGTGGCGGTTTAAGGCTTTACCTTCTTGAGACACCTCGTCAAAAACCTATACAAATCCTTACACCCCCTCGGAAGTAACATACTCTAAACGCCATGAACAGACGATGGCACCCGTTCAGGATTTTCTCAGGTGCAGAATTGAGGAATCCAACCTGAGACTTTAACAGATCCAAGCGGTAGAACACGACATAAAGCAAGGAGTAGCCCTCCCAACACAGGAACGTAAAGGCTGGGCTTCGCGGCTGCTGCATGCCGAACCCTCAACGCGACGTCAGACCCCTCCAAAGACTGTAAACTTCTGCATGCCCTGCTGCAGTGAAGCTTGTACTGCTCCTGTAGCTACACTTAATGCGAGTACATTACATACGGCTAGGATAGGGTATGAAGTTACTTCAGTGGTACGTGAGTCAGTTGGGTCAGCAGGTGACAGGCTCTATACCCCCTGGCAGCTGTTCGATGTCATGATAAGACGAAGGCTTTGGGGTATATGAAGTTACAAAGGGCCCTTCATTGACAACCGCCCTACCTTAAGAACCCAAAACCTACTTTTTTGTAGGGTCCCTATAAATCCCATATTAGGGTTTATAATAAGAACCTACAAAAAAGTGGGTTTTGGGTTCTTAAGGTATAGTCAGATTCAGACAGACCTCTACCTTTCCGTTGTCCGTGCCTTCGCTGCGGCTTTTGCCTTTGCCTTTGCCTTGGCTTTGCCGGCCGCTTTTGGCGTCGCCTTTGGCGCGGCCTGAAGCGACGACTCACACGGTTCAGTTGGGTCTAGGTTATGGTTTACCTTCAACCCTAAATCCATAGGGTTTAGTGCTTCTATCTTTTCTGGTTCTGAAACCTGAAACCCTAAAGCTGAATCTTCGAACCCATAGCTTTACACCCTATAGTTTTGAGGTTATAGACCCTGAACCTCAAAACCACGAAAGCCTTGAACCTTCAAACCCCCGGAACCCGCTGAAGGTGATGAAGCAGTCTGCATGCGGACAAGCCTTGCCTTGGCTGCCGGCTTTTTCATCGGAACGTCGGCCATCTCCTCTGCGTTCTGTTCAGGGACTTATTTTCAGCTACTGTAGGGGCCTTAATAATTAGAATAGGGCTTTGGGGCCCAATCCTACTATAATTATGATAAGGAACCCCAAAAATCAGGCCCATCTGTTATCCCTAAACCAAATACCCTAAACGATGGGGTCTCCTTCCTTGCAAACGGTTCAACCGCATCGGGTTGTACTGGGAGCCCGCAAAGCTATGCCATAAGATGGAGCTTCATTCAAGGTTTGTATGTCCCATCAGCATCGATGCACATATTGCGCAGGTACATGGACCCTTCAGGGAGGTGCCTCTTGCAATAAACCTTGTAAGTACTAAACGCTATAGGCCCTCAGCTCTAAACCCTTAACCTCAAGAGGGGTCCGGAGTTCGAGAACTACCCATCAATGTAGCGAGAGGAGCGTGGAATTGCATCCTCTGGGGTACCCTTCAGGGTCCCCATAAGGGTTCCTACAAGGGATACTAAAACGGCTCCTATTATGCCTAAAAAGGCCTAAAAGGCTGCGAAGAGGGCCACTAGAAAATTTCATCTGGCTGTGAAAGACAATGGAGAGCTGAGACGTCTAAGCATTGAAAACCAGTGGTACCAAACCTACCTGTGGATCCGAAGCCGATTGTCTCAAGGGGTTATAGAAGTTATAGCCCTACAACTATGGAGATATGAACCGCTGTTTTGTGGTGTGTGGATGCAAAACAATTGCAAAGCCCAGCATGGTTTGTTGCTGCGGGTCCTTACATCAACGATTATACTACTCAGGCTCTATACTAGGCTGAAGCTCCCGGGTGTTGTCCTCATCTTCTTCTCCATCTTCTTCCATGGCTTCAGCCACCTGTGTCAAAGAATACTCCGTCAAAGCATGCCCGGCTTCGAGCTGGCGAATGATGCTGCTGTGCTCTGACATGGCTTCGGGCTTGAAGGTGGCCCAAAGTAGGCTCCAGTTATAGACTCTAGGCCCCAGACTATAGGCCCCAAAGTCGGTTCCAGTTATAGACTCTATAGGCCCCAAAGTAGGTTCCAGTTATAGACTGGGCCCCAAGGTAGGTTGAGGGTTATACACTATAGGCCCGTCGGTTCCAGTTATAGACTCTAGGCCCCAAAGTAGGTTCTATTTGCGGAGATAATTTCAGGAATCAAGCTTGAGACAGCGCTCTGGCCTGTGCAGTCGGCGTGTAAATACGAGCATGGGCAGCATGGGGTTCGGCGTATGGGGGCGGCTTGTTCCCGCGTCCCCGCGAATGGAGGTCCCCCAGCCCCACATCCAAAAGCCTTCACCCTAAATCCTAAATCCCAAACCCGATGTCCTAAGTCTGACATGACAGACCCTGAACTCTCAAGTAGCCCTAGGAACTATAAACCCAAAGCTCTGAAGCCTAAACCCTAAATCCCCTCCCTTGAACCCCAAACCCTAAATCCCCAAAAAACCTCAGCCCCCGTTGCCTCCTCGGGCTCGACCTCCACCGGCAACGGGGCCTCGCCGGCCTCGAGCTGAAATCTAAACCCTGAACCCTAAACCCTAAACCCTGAACCCTAAACCCTGAACCCTGAACCCTAAACCCTAAACCCTAAATTATAGGGTTTAGGAGTCCAGGCTCAAGGTTCTGGGGAGCGGTTTTGTCTAAGTTTAGGGTGTTAGGGCTTGGGATTGAAGGTTTAGGGGTCTAGGGCGCGGATGGGTCTAAGTTTTGTGTTTAGGGTTTGGGATTGAAGTTTTGTGGCTTTAGGTTTAGGGTTTGGGGTTGAAGGTTTGGGGGTGTGTAGGGCGTAGCTTTAAGATCGGTCTAATTAGGGCCTTAAGGGTTTGAGGGGTGGAGTGTTTTGGGGTTTAGGGCCTGGTTCAGCTGGGTCTAGGGGGTTTGTGCTGTATGGGGTATCGGGTTTTGGGGTTTAGGGATTTAGGGTTTGGGCGCAACAAAACTGGCCGCCGGCTGGCGCTTTGATTGGGGGGCACACTGGTATAGAGAACTGCAGAGATTTTGGAAGAGAGTCGAAGACGGGATCCGTTTCCCGAGCTCGGGAAATGAGCACCCTGCCACATCTTCATAAAAATCCCTCATAGCCTAAAGCCTAGACTCCGAACCCGACGTTGTCAACGCCGTCTTCGGTGCCGACAGCTCAACACCAGCTTCGCATGATATTCAAGATTCAATGTGATTTGCAAGCAAGTCTGTGGCACGGCCACGACCCCCAAACCTCAACTCCAAACCTTCTATCCAAACTCGTATATCCTAAACTCGCAACCACAAGCGCCTTCGACTTGGCTTTTGCCTTCGCTTTGCTCTTTGCCTTGGCTTTGCCAACCTGGAGCATGGAGCATGGTGGGCAATGTCTGGATTGAAGGGCCGAGAGTGAGGGGCGGTTTCTGCTCATCCGGAGCCCTATAGGACCTACACCCCCCAAAACCCCGAAACCCCGAAGACACACGAGAATCCACAAAAACTAAAGCCCTCAACCCGAAGCCCCAAGGAAACCCAAGAACCTCAGTGTAGGATGGCCTTTTTCGGATCTTCTTCAGCAGCTTTCGGTGCCTTGAGAAGCATTTCGTGCCGGCTCTAACAGCAAAAGCACCCAACGCACGCAGCCAAACTCACTTACAGGGTTGAAAGCTGTCTCTTTCGAGGAAAAGCAGATTGTAAAAGATTCAGGGTGTCGTACCTCTGAAAGCTATCATAAGGCTTGGAAAGGGGTGGGTCCATAAGGTTCAAAGTTCAGACGTTTAGGGTTCAGAGCCTTGGGTTCAGCGTTTAAAGTTCAGAGCTGTGCCAGGATGCTTTTCAGCAAGGAAACCTGCAACAAAGCAGGTTCTAGCAGTTAAGATAATGTGGTGGAACTGATCCTGGAACTAGTAGACATATGGATTCACAGCTAGGCTTTAACTGTCGCTCCGAGTACTCTAAACCGCCCCAAGCCCGAAATTAGTCCCTAGACCCCAACTCCTGCACGCTGGAAAATCACAGGGAATGATCCATTCATCATCAGGGGGAATTTACCTCGAAGTAGTAGGCTATTGGCTATTAGATCCTCATGTAAATCCTAACGTAAACCAAAAGCCCTTGCAGCATTGAGCCGCAACACTTGAACCCTAAACTACTGAGCCCCGCACTGCAGCAGGTCTTTTCAGAGCTGCCTCTTCCTCTTCCTCCGCTTCCTGCCAATTCTTATCTGTCGTGTTGTTTTGAGGACGTATGATTTCAGGTTTACGGTTCAAGGTTACGCTGTTAAGGTTCTGCATAAGGAAACCAAAGCATCGTTGTTTCGGGGTATCATGTTACACTCGTGTAGAGGACCCTAACAATGGATGGGGTCGGGGTTGCCCAGGTAGGGTTTCGATTTTCAGGGTAGCTTTCAGGATATTGGTCTTAGGAATTACCCGAACCTACCAAAACCTACTTTTTTGTAGGGTCCCTATAAAGCCCATTAGAATTTATAGTAAGAACCTACAAAAACATAGGTTATGGTAGTTTAAGGTGCGGTTTAGGGTGTAGGAATGGAGGGCCCGGATGTAGTACTCAGTATACAGCTTATAAATGACCGAACCTACATTGACCTACATACCACAGCCGCCTGCTTTTCTGGGAACGAAGAAGATTTCTCTTCGGGTTCCCGGAAGGGTTACCACACAGGCACTATGAGGATGTCATAAGAGTTTTTTGGGGTGTAGATTTGAGGGTTGCCGTAGAGATGCCTCGAGGGTTTACTGTAGGTTCTTGCGAGTTAAGAACTCGCACGCAGCGCCAAACCGTGCAAAGTGGTTGGTCGCAATCCCTTTTATATTGGGTATATTTAGGTGTCCCTACGGGTTCCGTAACCTTTTCATGAAACGGTTCTTCAGTGCTTTTTGGTGCATTTCCTGCACTCGGGAGTGCCTGGTTCAGTTAGCTTGGTTATACTAAGGATCCTAATATCTAGATGTCTATATCGGGGTCCGTTGTCTTCTGAAACTCCACTCACATGCGGGCTTCCAGACGTAGATGCTGAAGACTAAGGCTAATAACTTCAAGAGGACTTCGGGAACTTCGGGGGTTGAGGGTTTAGAGTCTGCGCAGGTCGAGGTTTGTTTGGGGTTTTGTTGCATTCGCAATTCGTCTAAAATCCGCAAAAAAAGGGGAGTAGGATAAGTATTGGACCAAATAAGAAAAACAAAAAAAACAAGCTGGACAAACTCACAACTAAAAATACGCTAAGAGAAGGGTTTTGTGTCGCGGAATAGAAAAAGCCCAGACAATCCAACATCCCCTAATTAAAGAATATCTCAGGACCCTCCTTCCTCAAATAGGGGTATGTGGTCCCAATTGGTGGGTACTTAGGGTCTAATAGAGGGTGCGGTAGATGGAGGGTCTAAGTACCTTGAATTGTTCAGTGAAGGTGCGAAAGCTGAGGCTAGGTGCGAAATACGAAGGCCACCCAGTAAGAAGCCACCGCGTCAGAAGGAGAAACGATCGCAAAAAATCCCAAGCCTTGCACTAATGTAGGGGCCTTAATAATTAGAATAGGGTTTTGGGCTCCTTTATAGTACAAATGTAATTAATAGAAACCCCCCAAATATTATAGGTAATTCTTGAGGCCCCTATATTACATGTTGAAGTCGCTCTTGGGCAATGCCATCCCATTGAGCAATATCTTGAAGAACGATGCCCTCACATACCATCTAAGGGTTCCCCACTTGCTCTGCTGGACGCTGTCCTTCATCCCGGGGGTTCCCGGCAGTCCCTAAACCCTAAACCCTAAAACCCCTAAAACCCCTAAACCCGGTAGTCAACATGACAAGTCTTCGTTTTAATCGTTTCTCCCATGCTGCCTGCGTGGGTGCCCCCTTCTCTGCCCCATTGCCCGGCTGACCGCACGAAAAGCAAAATGCCCCTAAACCCTAAACCCTAAACCCTAAACCCTAAACCCTAAACCCCAGCCCCTTCATGGCCGAACCCCTCCGGCCCGGTGGAGCTCCGAGTCGTCTTGCGCTGTGGCTCCAAAAGTTGTAGCATAAATAGAGCCCGAAAAACCCCGAAGCCCTAAACCTAAACCGTTATAGGGTCCCTGATATGACCAAAAGTATATTCCTTAACGGAGGGATGTTGGGAATGTCGGGAGGGCCTTCTAGCCGAATCTCCTGAGCACCTGAAGCCCAAATCCTACAACCCGAAACCCACGGCTAAACCGACAACAACCCTGTGTAGATCCATAGATTTAGCGTAGTCATTCATATATATATATATATATGTATACGTATGTGTGTATGTATATATATATATATATATGAATGACACACATACACGCATGTGGGCATATTGATTTGTGTACTTGTTTATTTCCCCTGGATAGTCCTCTGCCGCTTCTGGCTCTTCTGCCTCCTGCGCTCGAGAGGCCTTATATAAGACGGGTTGAACATTTGGGCTTGTTGGTTTGAGGTTCAGGAAAGGTCAAGGTTTTGGAGAGTTTAAGGGTTTAGGTTCAGGGTTTTTGCTCATCTTGAATGTTAGAGCACATGCGTATGTATGTCGGGACAATTTCGAGTGTTCCCCAGGAGGAACTTAAACCCTGAACTCCTAGTCACACCGCTCCTAGAAAGCCCCAGTAGGGTAGGCAAGCAGCTGCTCAAGGATTCCCAGGTGCTACGGCCTTGTCGGCTTCGTGATTCCATGCTCATCAGGGCAGATAATATAGCGTCGGACGGTTTAGGGCTTAGGGTTTTTCTATTGGGGTTCAGGGTTTAGGGTTTAGGGGGTTTAGGGTTTTTTTTTGGGGGTTCAGGGTTTAGGGCTTAGGGGGTTTAGGGTCGGACTTGGTGCTACAAGCAGCTGGCCATCCCATGTTATGCTTGCGCGAACCGTTTTGCTGTGCTCGGAAAGACGGCCGCATCACCGCATCTGCATCATCACAGATTAAAGCCGTAAGCGGTCAGTACACGAGCCAGAATCGGACACCTGTAAGCCAGAAACCGAAAAGGTGCCATTTAGAAGCCACTACCGAAATATCGAAGCGATGAGCAATATGTTTTACTATATGAGCCGCTACAAAGAATACGCACCCGCCAGTTGAACATTCCCATTTCCGAGAGCTACCATAAAAAACCTGAGAACAATCACTGGAGAGCAAATGCCATGTCTTTCCAAAACTAGGTCAGAACCCTTACTGTACCACAAAAAGAGCACTTGTAAAAATACCCAAACCATGCAGGGGCTTCAATGAATATCAAGTCAGTAAAAAAGGGGTTTAGGGTGTGGGGCACGCTAAACCCTTAAGCCAAAATCCTAAACCCTAAACCCTAAAAATCCTAAACCCTAAAAACCTAAAGCCTAAAACCCTAAAGCCCTACACCCTAAAGCCTAAACCATAAACTGCAACAATTTATTCATCAGCAAAACAGCTCTCATTCAGTCCTCTTCTTCCTCAGGCTCTGCAGGCTCCTCGGCGACCTGAAACGCGCGTCACATAGGCTCTTCTCTAAACTAGGGTTTAGGGTTTAGGGTTTCGGGTTTAGTTTAGGGTTCCTTAAAGGCATCTATAAGGGTTTCTATAAGGTTTCTCTAAGGGCACTATATGGGCAATTCTTTAAATTAGGGTGACGTTCAGGGTCCTTCTTACAAGGATGCTGTACTATATTATGGGGATCTAAACGGGACCCTGATCTAGAGGACCACCCACACAGATTCGACACAGATGTGCACAGTTCTTTGAGTTTGGATCTCTGGAAAAGTAGCTTAGAGAATGGACACCAACAATGACTGTTGCAGTTCCGAGACCCGTGCCGAGTCTCCATGCAATTTTCGGAGCATGAATCTAAACTACTCCAAAATTCATTGTGACCTTAAAAAGCCTGTAAGGAACGATATGTTCAAAAAAAGAATGAGAGCTTCACAACAAACTTTTACAAACATCCACAAAACTCATACCATCTAGTGTAGTCGACAAACTCACAGCACCATGAACGCTTCTATGAAGGCGAATCAGGGCAGCTCCCGCCGTTCCTAAAGGCCCCTGGACTGGCAGCGTGGGCGAACGCCCCCAGCTCGCAAAGCTCCGACGAGAAGTAACGATGTCGGCCGTGAGCTTGCAGGCTAAAGCTGTGCCTTCTTTGCGCAGTGAAGCTCCGCATCGGATGTAGCACCGATTCGAGCTCCTCACGGCTGCAGCCGCTCGCCTTGCACAGACTGGCACGTGGTATGCGAAGAGGGAAGCTGTCCGAGCGGCCCGCAGAGCAAAGTGCGGCCCATCACCAAACATAATTGTCAACCACGTAGCATCACAAACCCAATGCATCAAAACCACCTTCGAATATATCCTAAAATACCCCCCCCCCCCCCCCCCCC